AGGAGCGGCTGAGGGAACTGGGGTTGTTTAGCCTGGAGAAAAGGAGGCTCAGGGGAGACCTCATCGCTCTCTACAACTACCTGACAGGAGGTTGTAGCAAGGTGGGGGTCAGTCTCTTCTTTCAAGTAACAAGCAATAGGACGAGCGGAAACAGCCTCAAGTTGCGCCAGGGGAGGTTCAGATTGGATATCAGGAAACATTTCTTCACCGAAAGGGTTGTCAAGCATCAGAACAGGCTGCCCAGGGAAGTGGTTGCGTCACCATCCCTGGAGGTATTTAAAAGACGTGTAGATGAGGCGCTTAGGGACACCATTTAGTGGTGGACTGGGCAGTGCTAGGTTAACAGTTGGACTCAATGATCTTAAAGGTCTTTTCCAACCTAAATGATTCTATGATTCTGTGAAAAGTAACAACAGAACTGAAGCAAGAGGAGGACATTAATTCGGACACAAAGAATACTTGAACTCATTTGGCTTCAGGAGATGGGTAGAGAAAAATTAACATATGGGTTTCCGTTTCAGATCTAATTACTTCTGAGTCTACAATCTGAACTTGTAAACCATGCAAGTCTAGAAAGAGTACTTCCAGGCTCACAATAAAGACGACAGCTACAGGAGGATATATTCAGAAATAACACTGGACTGTGGATTTAGCCTATTCTACAGTGTTTTTTATGCTATTTAACAAAGGCAGGCAGGCAGAAGAGAAATTTGAACGCAGTCCCAAGAAACTGCTTAAAAACAAACAAAAAACCCCAAACCAAACTAGCCTCCTTTCCACTGACCTCTGCAGAGAATGGCTTGAATTATTGTACTGCATTCAGATTGGGTTTTTTTTGTTTGTTTGGGATTATTTTTCCACTAACCTCCTTTATATATTACTCAATTAATATGAAAACTTTTTTAACAGGCAATTGATACTACAGGAACCAGGCCACTACTCGGACCACTGTTGCCTGTTAGTGAGATCGTTTCTGAGAAGTCATTTATGGTTCTGGATGCCTAGAGACACATCAAGAGGTCTTACTTGTATAAAATGTCAAGAATCAATTCATTTGAAAACTCTCACAAATGCTTATTCTTTGGTAACAATAAAGAAGAAAAAAAAAAAAAAAAAAACAAAAACCACAAACACCAAACCCTAGATCAGCTTAAAAAGGGGGGAAACAAAAGGTGGGCAGGAGAATCTGTATTTGTTAAATACATCAAACTCCCAAGTCCACGTAATGGAATCAAAGCACTCTTTTCCATTTTAAGAACTTTTCAAGGCGAAAAGAATTTCTATTTAAAGTTTGAGGCTCCTTAGACAAGCTTCTGTATTTTTTCTTCTGAAAACTCAAAATTATAATAATACTTATTTCAATTTTTTTTCTCTTTAGTTTTTAATTTTTTTTCCTTTGATAAATTAACTTGCACTCAGTTTTCCTGAACTAAAAGTTTCTCTGAAAATATACGGAAAATTTGGTAACATTCAAGACTTTGTCCTAGTAACAGTGCTCTCCCTCCCCCTCCCACTGCCCAAATCCAAACCCTCACACACACACAACCCAAACTCCTTTTCATTCTAGTTTCTCATTTAAGTAAAGCAAACTGCTGAAGCACTAATATCCAGGACATCAAGAAAACGAAAACAAGAAGAGGGACCTCTTTCAGAACCAGAAGGAAGTAAGAAAAGCAGGGGAGATAAACAAATGTTCTGGGGTTCTAAAATGGCTATGAATGCACTGCACTGCATTTTTGATCTATTCCAAAGAAGTATCACCTCTTCACCTTTGGTTATAGAACCGCCAATGGAAGTGGTTCTCCTCTCTTCTGCTGCCACACTCCTCCACCCCGCATTGCACTTAATCTAGCAATTGTGCAGCCACATGACTGATCAGTAAGTTGCTCCAAGGGAAAACTACACTTTTTGGCAGTACGGTTTCATGCTGGATTAGCTCATTCTGCAAGTGTATGAGCACTCCAACATAGAGTGGAGCAGAAGCATGTGGAGTTGGGGGGGGGTGTCTCTGCTTGTGCTAAGGATGTAAGATAAGAAAGCACAGAACTACCCATTTTGGCAACAGCTGCCACCACAGCGCCCTAAACATAACATGAAATTGCACCCTGAATCCCAATCTTTTACTACTAGATTAAAAGGAAAGAGTCTGCCACTAATGTCAGTGACTATACTGCTCAGCACATAAATATGGAAAAATTGATCAGGCTCTTTAAAGCAGCGAACCAGGCAACTATTTGGAAAGCCCAGCAACACTCTGATGCCATGAAGCAATTCCTCCACATCTCTGAGGAAAGGAAAAAAATACATGGGGAAAAAAAGGAAAAAGAAAAAGCAAGACCTCTGAAGTGAGCCCTCCACGGGAACTCAATGCACGATCAACATACAGAAGCATTAACTGCAATAGAAGGCCTTTTAGTTTGTGCCAATTCACGAAAAGCCTTTCTATCCAGCATCACCAGAGATTTGACTAAAGAACAACCACACTCACTTTGCACTGACATTCTGAGATTCTACTGCTGCGATCTGAGACTGAAGTAGCAGAGGGAAGTTTCCTGCTTTAGCAGTCTAAACCAGAACAGAGCAAAACTCTGTTCTCCTGAATCCATACTATATTACGAAACTGGCACGGTGTCCTTCCCTGTAACATCCAGACTTGCAGATGTCTGAAAAAGCTGATGTCATACAGGAGTCGTTAAGCCGTTTACCTTTGCCTGGTAGTTGTGATTCCTTACTTTGAAGGCAGCTGTACAATACAAGTGTAATTTTTCTTCCCATCACCCACCAACAATTTAGTGTACAGACATCTGAAAGTTGCCTCTTGTTTTATAGGATTATTCTTATCAGATACCCAAGGTTTGTGAGTATATACAAGGTCACTACAGTCTAATGTATGTCAAATGTCATACAAAAATGTATGTCAACAGTTTATCCCTCTATAGCACAGCGGATTCTTGTTTCAGTGTTCTCCCCTTGTAAACAGGAAATGAGTCCAAGTATAAATGATAGATTTCTCCTTTGAAAGGGCATCACTTACCAGTAACTACCATGCTGCTCATGTTAGAGTTCGGGCTATTGAGTACACTGCCTGAAAGAAGTTCGTCAGATCCTCTCTAAAAAGAAAGAGACAGTAAGAGATTTTTTTCCTCTATTTTGTGATTTTTAAAGATGATATTAAAAATGTCAGTTTGACAGGGAAAACCTTTAGAAGAACTTAAGCAAGCACAACCAAACCTATCCAGATTTGGCAGACTTCCTCTTTTCAGATAAGTGCAACAACTGGAAATCTAAGTAAAGCAGTATATTTACATGGCAATCTTGGAAATGAGAGCAGCTTAAGCACAGTTGTTTCACCCACCACTGAAATGTAGCCACCTCCAGACACAATGAGAACTGCTGAACAATAATTTTGTCCAGCATTTCAAATTAAAATATTATTATAATTAAATATATTTAGTCTATTTCAGTAACATTTAAATTAACTTATTTTAATATTTTAATATACATATATATTAAAGTATTATATCTCGCTGAAACTACAAGGGAAATCTATACAAATTAGCTCAATTCTAACACCCCTATTTAAAAAAAAAAAAAAAGACTTGTCTTCATAGAAAATGATCTATTTTCATTTTGGGGACATCCATTTGTCCTGCAAAACACCATTTAGGGCAGGGAGTTACATTTTCACTGTAATTCTTAAAACATGACAAATATCAAGTAAATGGTCGTTTTGAAAATGACTCGAAAGTGGGCTGCAAAAATCAGAGGAGGGCTTATATTGAAAACGTACAAGATAAGCTTTTCCTCTCAAATTATTTGCAAGATGGGCATTTGAGATAGCTGAAGAGGCTTTTGCTTCTTTTCACACCTTTTTTTTTTTTCTTTTTTCTTTTACCCCCCAACCCCCTCCATCCCTCAAGACTTCATCTTTCAAAAAGCCCCCAAAATATTTAGGTGATCTTTCATTAAAAAAAAGAAATTTAAAAGGGAATACACCTGACATCCTTTGAAGATTATCTTTAATTTCTTATTGGTTCTTTCCCCACTTCAAAAGTATTTCCCCAGCACCCTTAACACTAATCCAGGTCACTGCTAAAATGGAAATGAGGAAAGAAAACAGTTACTACCCACCTTTATAAAAATATGTGGTTTTAATTCTGTTGTGGACACTACAATAGCATCTCAAGAACAGTTAGTGAATACGTTTTACAGGGCACCTCAGTACTGCATACTAAATTACCCTGAGGATATCACCTTTCTAGGCAGCACGGTTGCAAGATGCATAAAATCAAACCTTTACAACTTTATCATAGTGCACTGTATGTGCGTCCATACACAGAACAGTATGTTAAAGTTTGTTTAATCCAGACCTGAAATCCAGAAGCTCTTAAAAATAGTATACATATGTATGCATACACAGAGCCATTAAAGTTTACTTCATTTTCAACATCAGCACTGAAGAATCTTTATATACAGTTTATTGAATACTCTAAGCTCTTAAGGGTACATAGCAACCAACAAAGCTGTGCCTATCAATTCAACAACAGATTTCCTTTAAAATTGAGTAATGCCTAACACCAAGGTTAGGTAGGACCATGAGAAGGACTAGGTCTTGTCCTTCTCAATGTAAGAACAGATCTCTAATCAGATATAACTAAGGAAAAATTTAGCTGGACAAAACTGAGAAACAAGTTAGAGAAGTTATGGCAAGTCTCCGTTATTCAAACCACATTGCTTTCTAGTGTAAATATAACACACTAACCCAGGCACTCAGTGTAAGTTCTTCTTTCTCCTTAATGTTCTATTTTTCTAACATAACATTTACAGGGGTAGAATATTGCAAAGTTCAAGACTACTAGCAGTATTAGCTCACTCAGTCGTAACTGCAGTTATTTCTGCTCGCAGCTATCCACCTAGCCTTGCTTGGAAGCCCTTGGCTGTAGCCTGGACAGCTCAAATGAAGAGGCAGAAGTAGCAGCAGAGACTGAATCAGTTCGTAGTCAAGACATATAATATAAGATATCATATAAGATAATTCAGCAGCAGGTTTTTTTTTTTTTCCTTAATATGCCAGGCATTAATTTGCAACAGTACAGCAGTTACTATGTAAACAGCTGAAGCATCCCCAGTACCAAATGAATGCTCTTCCCAAAACCTGCAGGAACTTTACAATTCTGAAATATCTCAAATTTGAGTTCTCTTCAGCTTCAAAAAGTTACTTACATCAGCAACTGCTGACTAGCAGAATGCAAGAGTGATTACATAAACTTCTGGTTCCTAGTAAATCAGGCTTTCAAAAAGCTGTTAATTTCTTAATCCACAGCAGAAAAATCCAAAAGGAGCACAAATTACTCAATAGAGTGGATATTCAGTTACTGTATTTGTGTTTCATGAACAGTTAAAAGAGTTTTCTCTTCATTTTGAAACATATCATTTTGCATTTCATGAATACATTCAGAGTCAATCACAAGATTTTGTCATTACACTTGAAAAAGTTTTAGCAGTTTTGCTTCAGAAGAACAAGTAAATGTGAATTCCTTATATTGGCATGTATCATAAATTCTACATTTGTTTCTTCTCATAAATCAGTGTTCACAAGTCTGATTCACAGATGTACAGGTTCGTGTGGAATGTTCTTCCAGTTCACCATGAAATCACAAACATCTAGCAAACCTCTGCTAACTCGCTCCCATACATACTTGCCAAGCTTTTGGTAAAAGACAAAGATATCTCTTACCGTGTAAGTAATCATCATATTAGAAATACATGGTTATTTTTCCTTACGGGTTCTTAAGCGGCCTAGACACCTCTGCACTTCATTCGGTATGTAACTTTAAAACCAGCTATGCAGCAGAAGACACATGATGTACTTGGACACAGAGCGGTTAAATTACAAAATCAGAAGCAGTATCTGCCTGGTAATTGCCGATTACTTCAAAAGGGTTAAGATGACAGTTGTCTAGTAAAGCAATTTAATATAAGCATTTCAAGTAAGCCAAGGCGTACTCTTAGACTGGCACTACTATGTGACACAAGCACCTCCTCCTGAATTACAGCATAGACATAAATACTTATTTTACTTACATTTATTCAGCAGAGGTAAGACTTTATTCAATTTGTGGTTTGGGGTGCTTGGCTTTGGTTTTATGTGCATCTTCTTTCAGAGGGTGCTAAGCCAAAAAGGACTGGCATCTTGCTCCAAAGGCAAAGCTCTTCATCACTCCGCTATCTCACACACAAATTTCAGAATCGTAACTCATTTCCCAAGCTTCTTGAACATTCGCTAGTCTTATTCTCAAGCACGCCAGTTCTGCTAGTCAAATCATGCAAAGCAAAGAAACCTTTAAACTAATTTAGGTAAATTCTATCGAGTGTTTCAGAGATAAGGAAACTGAACTCAGATCTTTGAAGAACATAGTGAATCAGATTCAGTGAAGAATGGAAGATCCAAGAGCAACGTTCACTTAACACTCTTCCCCATCTGTGCAAACTGCTGTGTTCTAAAGAATCAAAGCAAGTTTGAGATTGTATAACAAGACTGAAGATGAAACACACAAGTCACAGAAATGTCCAAATCTAAGTTAAAATAACAAACAAACACCACAATGATTTTATTTCATCATAGGCTGCAAAGGAAGTTCCCATAATAGCAACATGGTAGAGACTAATTGAATATCCATTTTAGCATGACGGAAGGAGATTACAAAGGACAAAATAAGAAGTACAAACTGCTATTATACTATTAATAGGTCATCTTCCGACAGCTAGTCCTCCACAGCACAAGTTTTCAATGCCATATTTCTATTCCTACCAATGTCAAGAACATTAATCTATATTAATCTTCCATAAAAGCTAAGCCACTATTCCCATCAGAGCTATCTAGAACATTTCTTCATGAAACCAGCATCTGCCAAAATACTATTACACAAAAAAAACCAAGGGAATTGCCAAACTAACTTCTTGCAGTGAGCGAACCTTAAATTTGTTGCAAAGTCAATACTGCCCTTTCAATGAAGCCCATGGTATCACACCCTTGCGCCCATGAGAGCATTTCCATCCGTGGTGTGAAAACAGCGTGTTAGCGTATGGCTTCAACCAACGGAATTACGTAAAACTGACATGTAGGATCACTTTCAGAAAAAGATGAAGAATATACCAACTCAGACTTTGAATAGGTATTTCAGAGAAACTTAAAAATTATACATACAAAAATTATTTCATATATTGTAAATTGGAGATACCGCTTCAATATTTCAGTTAATTTCTACAAGTAAATACAGTTATTGTATATACTCTGTCTCTTCTACAATTTATGAAATCAATTATACAAAGAGAAAGAAAAAGCCCCTAGCTTGGCAAATTAATCTCCTAGCTCCTTGATTTAACAGTCACAGCTAAACTCAGAATCCCTCACTACACAAGCTGGATTTATGTAGCAGGATTTCAGATTCCCCCCCCCGTAACAGACTACTATAAAGCTCACAGCTAAACTCAGAATCCCTCACTACACAAGCTGGATTTATGTAGCAGGATTTCAGATTCCCCCCCCCGTAACAGACTACTATAAAGCTTCATGCTATCACAGGTTATATTAAGTAGCTATGTAATTTCAGGAAGTCATTACAGTCATACCATCCTTCCAGGCTAATCAAAACTATACTATTTAGAGGTCTTTGCCAACTATTTTCCTCACATTCCAGATAGGGCTTTAAATATTTCAAACATTCCCCAGATTTTATTACATCCAAGGTTAAAAAAAACAACCCAAAGACTAACAACTTTGGCTTGAGACTTACCAAAGAGGTTTAGTCTTTTAAACAATTGTCAAAAAGTCCTTTGATGCTTATGAAAGAGAAACATTATCAGCTCTTTTCCCAATTATTCAGGGCTATGGAGGATCTGATCAGAAGTTATGGCTGAACCTAACATAACGGAGTGTATTACAGAAGGCTTTTTAGAAGCACTACAATACGACAAGAACACTAAACCAATACTACTAGAAACAGTAAACAAGTGACAAAACTGCACTTTTTTAAAAAAGTCAACAGCCTCATCTAAAATAATTTCTTAAATTCCCACCAGAAAAGATAAAGAATACACTCAAAGATAT